CCCTCCTCCCTCAGACCTGAGTCCTGACCCCCAGCCCTCCTCCCTCAGACCCTGGAGACCTCACCTCAGCCCTCCTCCCTCAGACCCTGAGTCCTCACCCCAGGCTCCTTCCTCAGACCCTGAGTCCCCACCCCCAGCCCCTCCTCCATCAGACTCTGGAGTCCTCACCCCCAGCCCTCCTCCCTCAGACCCGAGTCCTCACCCCCAGCCCCTCCTCCCTCAGACCATGAGTCCTGAACCCTCCCTCAGGCCTGGAGTCTTGACCCCATGCCGTCACCTCCTCCCTCAGTCCCGGGAGACCGAGCCTCTGTATAGGATGCACTAATTTCTCCAAGTTGTTCCTCCCTTGATCCCATCCCAGCTGCCCCCCATCATCCACCCACTGACAGGTCCACACAAGTGTTTGGAGAGAGGTGTCCAGGGACTGGACAGTGGGGTCCTGTGAGGGAAAGGATGAGACAACAAGATTCCTGAACGATGCGGTGAGAGATGACGTCAGACGCCACATGGGAGGACGGGACCTGGGTGGGGGCAGCAGGTGGGAAAGCAACTGGGGACGGGGGACCCAAGGCCGAGAGAGAGGGCAGGGTGGGCCCGTCCTCCCTGCAAGAGGTCCCGGCAGCCCAGGACACCAGGGCAGCGTGGGTACTGCAATTCATGCCAACCGGCACAAATGTGTGGAGAGGACTGGGTGGAAAGCTGAATTGTCCTGTACACTTTTACTCAAAGCACAATGTTTAAAAAATACGCAGCCCCTCCTGGAAGTACACGGCTCTGCGTTTTCACACAGAATCACCAGGCAGCTTTGAACTGCCGGCCTTTCGGTGAACAGACAAGCTTCTCATCCACAGCACCACCAGTGCTCCTGTGAGTCAGAAACGAAAGCCCCAAGCCTATGGTCAATGAATCAATTCCAATTCCTGTCAACCCCGCGTAAGGGACTCTGGTGGCCTGGTGGGCGGGGGGGGGGAGCTCTGGTGGCTTGGTCTCAAGGAATTGTGCTGGCAACCCAAAGGTGTGCAGTTCAAATCCCCCTCCTGCTTTGTGGGTCCAAGATGGGCAATCTCCTCCCGTGTGATTTACAGCCTCTGAAGAGCCACTGGAGAGTCAGCCAAGGGTCAGTTCCCACTCAAAGATACACCACCACCACCACCATAACAACAACAACAGTGGGTATAGAGTTGCCATGCCAACCCAAAAGCGGGGAGTTTGATGAAAAATGGGCAGTCTCCTTCTGAGTGATTTGTTGTTAATCTCAGGTGCCATTTGACCAACCCCAACATGCAGTTATGAACAACAAGTCTAAGCCCAGCCCTGTCCTGTGCTGCCCACGTCCCCTCTAATGTGCCAAGCCCCTTGTCAACTGTGTCAATTCATCTTGTCCAGGGTCTTGCTCTCTTTCTCTGACCATCCATCTAGCCCAGTATGATGTCCTCCTATTCCAGGGACTGATCCCTCCTCACAACGTGCCCAAAGTCCATGAGCTGGTTTCACCATCCTTGCCTCTGAGGAGCACCCAGTTTGCAGCCTCTGAACGCCCCTGGGAGTTTGCTCTCAGCTGGCAGTTGGTTCTGACTCGAATTTGCATTTTGGTGTTTTTATCAACCCCAGAAAGCTGCCCCGTGTCATTTCTGTGGCCGGGCGGACTTACAGCCTCGGATGGGGCAGGGAGGGTCGCTGTGAGCTGGAATCAATCCGAAGGCAGTGATTTTGGGGTCTGAATCTTGACAGAAGCTGGGTGAGATAATCCTTCTCCCTTCCAGCAGCTGGCGTGTTAACAGCCGTGACAGCTCTGGGGAATGAACATTATAAAGCAAAATGTGCATGGATGGTTGAATGAACAGCCAATTTACTTTGCAAACTTGCACTCAAGGCACAAAAGGATAAAAAACATAAAAAAACATACAATTAAGAAGAGACACTTCTGTGGAACACGGCTTGCTCCATAACCCTCGGGGTGGACCTGATTTGAAGTTGACTGCAAAGAGGTTCCCCCCGACACACCTAAAATTTGTATGAAGATTTGCAAATCAAATTGGTTTTTTTTCACACAATCATTCATCAACATTTGGTTTTTATATCAACTGCCATTAATTAATAACAACATCAAGCCAACCCCTTATGACATTATGTATTGCATTAGTCTTCACTCCACTTACCAATTTATTATTTTTTACTTTCCTTTCACTCCCTACCCATCTCTGTTAAACCTCTAAGATTAATTCTGTGTTTAAACCTTTTCTTTACCTTTTGATAATACCAGTTTTATGCCATATTTCTCTTCTATGACTGGCTTATGTCATTCAGTATCATTTGTTCTAGATTCATCCATGTTCTGCAATTTCATGAATTCCTGTTTGTTTTTCCATGTTGCATAATACTCCATTTCATGTACCAGTGTTTCTTTAGCCGTTCATTTGTTGATGGACATGGGTGGATTTCTAACTCTTAGCAATTCTAAGTAATGCTGCAATAAACATAGGTGTGCGCGTGTGTATGAGAGTTTGTGTCTCAGCTCTTGGTTTTGTTACACACACACACACACACACACACACACACACACACACACACACACC